CAAGTAGCGGAATGCTACAGAGGTAAACAAACAATATCATTTGGAAGAGGATTAATAAGTGTTGACATTCATACAAATGAGTAATCCTGTAAACGTAAACAGAATATTTTATATAGATTTTTTTTAATGAAAACTTAAAATCCTGCATTATTTTCCGGACAACCCAATAAAATGATCCAATTTTGTGATAGCTAAAATAAAATTTTCAATCTCTCTCTCACTCTCTCCCTCATTATCTGCCGTCCAATTTCTCTCTCTCTCTCTTTCTCATTATCTGCCGGTTAATCTCTTTCCTTCGCCCCCTCTCTGTCTCTCTCTCTCTCTCTCTTTCTCATTATCTGCCGGTCAATCTCTCTCCTTCGCTCTCTCTCTCTCTCTCTCTCTTTCTCTCTCTCGTCTCATGATTTTCATCATAGAGGGAACAAAATCATGAAATTAATTGCATTGATTATTTACTGAATTTTTCAGCAGAGCCGCACGATTAATCATGCCAAAATGGTTAGTTATTAGGCAAAGAGTGGAATAGAGGTCAACTTTTGAACTTTAAATTTTTTAAAGTTTTTGTCTGATTTTTGAATTGAAGTGTCTTTAATTACAGTATCTCATGTTATTATAATATAAGAAATTGTGGAACGTTATTTTCAATTTCTTTCCTGGGAAAAGTATATTTTTCTAAAGGGTCGATAAATTTTCACCGCCTGTTAATCTGCTTGGCCAACACCTTTTTTTTTCTTCTAAATTTATCGAATCTCACGATTCTGGGGGCATAAATCAAGCCCCGAGCGGAGGGACAAAGAAAAAAAAAAAGCCGAAAACGCCCAAGCAAGTGTCGATAAAGTCGATTCGACCTGCAACCAGACTTGCCGATTTTAACGAGCGATGTGGGCGGATGGACTTTCAACGCCGTCCCCGAGAACGTCAGAAACGATTACACTGACGATTATCTCGAAGAGTTAATCAAAATCGTCCAACGAAAAAAAAATTCAATTATCAATGATGTAACAAAAACTTGTAACACCTTCAGAAGTATAAAATTAAAACAAAAATAAAAAACACTTAATTGCACTATCCATAAATCTTTACTCGAAATAATGGGATACGGCCTTCGGCAATAAATTATCCGATTAATAAATTCTAAATTGTTAAATTTTCAATGTGTCCTCATTGATCTATTGTTTTAACTTCTTCCGCGTAGTTTCATTTTAGTCATAGATCAACTGTCAAATAGGTCCATGAGAAAATCATTCATAAATTACGAACGATTCTATCATTGGATCATATCATCTTCATTCTCTCCCATGGATCATAAAACAAGTCATAAAACAATCTTTGGCGGGACTTTTGCCTGCTTGGAATTAAGAGATCCCTCAACTGGTATTAAAAGGAAATATTTTAAGAATAACTACCTGCCGAGTTCCTACTTGCCTTATAGGGTGTTTTTTTATTATGGTGATATATCACACGATCCCCCTTATAAATATTTCCCTGTCGGAGAACCCTCTGGCGAGTTGCATGACGAAGAAAGAAAAAATTACTCCCAGGAACTTGCTTTCAATGTAAAAGACGAACGTTGTGTGTGTGTGTGTGTGTGTGTGTGTGTGTGTGTGTGTGAGAGAGAGAGAGAGAGAGAGAGAGTGTGTGAGTGTGTGATAGATGGATAGATAGAGAAAGAGAGAGAGAGAGAGAGATCCTATGCTAGTAGATAAGAGACAAAAATAGAAAAAGAGAGATTGACAAGCAAAAAAAAAAAAAGAGAGATAGAGAGTCATAAATAGGCAGGTAGATATATAGGTAGGTAGATGGACAGATAGATAGATAAAATAGGAAGGTAGAGAGAAATTGTGAGTGTGAGTGAGAGAGAGTGTGAGGGGGATAGAGAGGGAAATTGGCAGGGAGTCAAAGAGAGAAAGAGAGAGTTAGGTAGGAAGATATACATGGTTAAATTGATAGGAAGGTAGATAAATAGATAGATAGGTGGACAGATCGAGAACTTGACGGAGAGAGAGAGAGAGAGAGAGAGAGAGAGAGAGAGAGAGAGAGAGAGACAGAGAGAGAGAGAGAGAGAGAGAGAGAAACATAGGTAAGTAGGTGGGTAGGTAGAGTGAGACAGAGAGAAAATGACAGGGAGTCAAAGAGTGAAAGAGAGGGAAGTATAGAGAGAGGTAGGCAGGAAGATATACATAGTTAGATTAATAAGAAGGTAGGTAGATAGATTAGATATATAAAGAGATTGACTGAGAGAGAGAGAGAGAGGGAGAGAGAGAGACGGAGGGAGAGGGTGAGAGGGAGGGTGGTAGAGAGTGAGTGAGTGAGTGAGTGAGTGAGAAAGAGAGAGAGAGAGAGACGGAGGGAGAGGGCGAGAGGGAGGGTGGTAGAGAGTGAGTGAGTGAGTGAGTGAGTGAGTGAGTGAGAGAGAGAGAGAGAGAGGGAGAGAAAATAACAGGGAGTCAAAGAGTGAAAGAGAGGGAGGGATAGAGAGAGGTAAGTAGGAAGATAGATAGATAGATAAATAGATAGATAGGGAGAGAGAGAGAGAGAGAGAGAGAGACGGAGGGAGAGGGAGAGAGGGATGGAGAGAGGGAGAGAGAGAGTTAAAGGGAGAGGGAGAGAGGGATGGAGGGAGAGAGGGATGGAGGGAGAGAGAGAGAGAGAGATAAGTAGGTATGTAGGTACAGTGAGAGAGAGAGAAAATAACAGAGAGTCAAAGAGTGAAAGAGAGGGATAGAGAGAGGTAAGTAGGAAGATAGATAGACAGATAAATAGATAGATAGGGAGAGAGAAAGAGAGACGGAGGGAGAGGGAGAGAGGGATGGAGAGAAGGAGGGAGAGAGGGAGAGAGAGTTAAAGGGAGAGGGAGAGAGGGATGGAGGGAAAGAGAGAGATAGGTAGGTATGTAGGTATAGTGAGAGAGAGAAAATAACAGGGAGTCAAAGAGTGAAAGAGTGGGATAGAAAGAGGTAAGTAGGAAGATAGATAGATAGATAGATAGATAGATAGGGAGAGAGAGAGAGAGAGAGAGAGAGAGAGAGAGAGTGAGAGAGTGTGAGACGGAGGGGTGGGTGAGAGGGAGGGTGGTAGAGAGTGAGTGAGAGAGAGGGACAAAGAGAGAGAGAAAGTCAAAACATATTTTTAAACAGGAATGGAAAGAGAGGGAAAAACAAATAATTCAGGATTAAGGAATAGAAAGAAACTAAGGAAAATTAATGCGAAAAATTTAGAGAGTCATAATTAATCGTAATCTAACGTGATCCAAATATGACAAAAAATTAAATAATGAACACGCAGATCATAGGGGATTAGGAAATATAGCGTAGAAACATAGTAGAATTGAGAAAGTCATTGATCTATCTGTAAAGAAAAAAGGAAAAAGGCCGTATTGGTTTTAAAACACAGGAATACTTCAGAAGAATCAGAAAATTGTGTGAAAAAAGTGTTTTGTCTATTTATGTTTACACCCTTGACATCGCGTTATCCGACTGGTTTGTAAAACTCAGTAAGATTTCGAAAATATGAATGGAAGTACACAGCCTTTGACTCTCCCTGCTTATAAGCCTGACGTCGCGTTATCCCATTGTTTTTTAAAACCTTTGCTCTGTATTACTTTCGTTGTTTTTATTGGATGTTTCAAAGTCTTAATGACTAATTTATATTTGTATCGTATTGTATACTAATTTATTTGTGATCGAAAAATAATTTTTTAAGCATGAATTTCACAATGTTGCAATCTTGGCATTACTATCAAAAAGGACACCAAAAAGTTTGATTAATACTGATGTGTACAAAACGTCAACTTTGATCCGATTCCGACACTTGGTCATTTTAAAAATCCTGAGCATAGCGGATCGTAAATCTCTCGGCAGAATTTTATAAGTTACAATACATAAATTATTGTAAAACCGGTGTGTGGGAGGCAGGTAGAATAAAGAAATATTTCCCGTACCCCTGGTACAATGCGGTACCCACGGAAGGTAAGGTTTTCGGTCGAAAGCTGTGCCGTTTTATGCCGAGAGGAATGAGAAAGTTCTGCCGTCCAAGTGCTAGTCTCAGGCCCGCACTCGGGGAAGCAACTCGGCAGATCTTCCATGCATCCTAACGCGTCGCTCAGGTAAAACAAATTTCACATAAAATTGAATGGATCGACTTTTTGACCCGAAAGTTGATATTTAATCGAACAACTTAAATTGGTCTGTTTTTCATGTAACACTCAGTGTTTTTTTTGTCTATATAATTGGCACGGAAAGATTGGTGGATTGATGTAAAAATCCCGGCTGTCTATTCGCCCGCTGTATATTATCCAATTTGTTGATTCAGGAGCTTTTTTATGTTTGTACAACGCGACCGCAGACGGCGTGGGCTATAACTTCTTCACTATTTACATTCAAATCACCGGTAAAACACACGGGGCTGTAAATAAATAAGAGGTTCCCCCGGGTGGCGGAGGCGGTCGACAAAACCTACGGGCGACGTATAAAAAGTTATAAAAGAAGGCGAGAAAAGAAAAAAACAGCTTTTATCCGGTTGTCGTTTCGAATCGGAAACACGAATGATGCAACGGGTTTTCAAATATGAGAAATTTCCCATTTTTACTGCCTGGGAGGGGTTGGACGGTTCGGTTTTTATCCTGGCGTGGGCCGTGCTGCTGAACGGGTCATAAAATTGTGAGAGAAAGACAACGAGAAAGAACCCTGCAGGAACAGGCTGCCCAAAGATTAAATAATACCAAATCCTTAAATCGTAGGCACTTTATACCCTTGCATTTTACAATTTCATTGGTTTACCGTACGTATAAGGCCTACCTATGGGCAAATTTCGAATTTTAATGGCAACATTACATTTTTTGATATTTTGTAAAATATGGTAATACGTTTACACTTTCCACCTATTAATTTCAAGTACACTTGCACCTCAGTTGCTAACCTGGAGTGGTAGCCTTGTTACCAACTTACACCACCGCATAGTTGGTTACTTGAGGTGATAGCAATATTATCAATTTACAGCTCAGCGTAGTTGGTTACTTGAGGATGGAGCAATAATAGAGCTCAGAAAAGTAACCTTAGTTGGCAGCAGTGTTACCAACTTAAATATCAGATTACTTGCAACTTGAAGTGGTAACAATATTACCAACTTACAGCTTAGCCTAGTAGATTCCTGGAGGTGGTAGCAATGTTACCAACTTACATCTCTGCATAGTTGCCTACCCGAGGTAGTAGCAATGTTACAACTTAAACCTGAGCATAGATCCCTATCTGAGGTTATAGAAATATTACCAACTTGCACTTAAGGATGGTTAGTGATGGATAGTTGGAAACCTGACGTGGTAGCAATGTTACCAACTTAAACCTGAGCATAGATGCCTGTCTGAGGTTATAGCAATATTACCAACTTACACCTAAGGATAGTTGCTAACCTTAGGTAGTAGTGATGTTACACATCAGCATGGTAACCTTAGGTGGTAGCAATTTACTAACTTACATATAAGCAGACTACCTGAGGTGGCAGGAATGTTACCGACTTTCCTTTATTTTTCTCCATACGCTTTTGAAAATTTTCGTCATTATTATTTTTCTAGGCTGCTGGTGGTTTGGATATTCCTTTTGCCTTCGGTCCGAGTCCATGGGACATCTCCGGATTTACTCCTTGTCCCAAGGGACTCGCCGACGGCCATCCTTCCTCTCAGCCTCTGGGCCAACCCTCGTCAGGCTATTTTCAGGCCGAGGAAACGCGACCTTCATCAGTCGACCCTCCTGGCAGCTCTCCAGCCGCACTACGAGCCCCAATGGATGTGCCTGACCAAACCACAGAAACCGCCCTCTGTAAGTGTACGATTTCGATTGCATATGTAAGACTAAAACAATTTATTGTCGATTTTTTTAAAGGAACTGATGGAGGAGAGAGCGTCGAAAAGCCAGCTGAGCAAAATGGCAGATAAGCTCCCTTTAAGCACCGCCGTCAAGGAGTGGCTCGTCAGCAGAGCGACCTGCCCCGTCGGCTACGAATGGCGCGATTTGGGCAGCGATTTCTGGCCGAGGTGGGTCCGCGTGGCCATGTGCCTTCGCCCCCCGATGGGCACGTGTTCCTGGCCGCCGGGTATGAGCTGCGTGTCCGGGCCGCCCAGGCACCTCCACGTCCTCCGATGGCACTGCAGGTAAACTTTGACTAGATATTAATCCCTCTGCCCCAAGTTTACTTTATAACCTCATCGTAGGCTCCGTAAGAATACGAAAAGAAAGAAGACCAACGAGAACAACGTCTGGGGAGACTTGGAGCTCAAGGAGACGACCAAGAAGCCAAAGAAAAGGCGCAGGAGGAAATACAGGTGCCTTTGGGTCAAAGTACCTTACCCCGTCCCTGAGGACTGCATCTGCGCTTGCTCATAAGCAGTAACCCATACAAAAACTCATTGTCTTTCTCCCGTGATATAAAATTTATACACAAGACTGCACAATTTCTACATTTTTTTAATATTCATTCGTGCAATCTTAAAAGACGAAATCGAAAGAGAGAAAAAAGAAGTGGTTTTTACACATGTATTTGAAATTTTTATTATTTAAAACTATTATTATGCTTTAAGACTGTATCTAGTTTGTAACATACAACTACTATAATTTGAACTAAATTGCAATATAGGTTTGTATTTTTATTCTTAATGAATTTTGTAAATAAATTTACTTAAACAAAAATTGGTCATTGGTCCTTTAATAAGCCTTAACAATTACCTTAACAAAAACTGAAATCTTCAAATAGCTTAATGCTAAATGGACCTTAGATCATGAGGAAATTATAGAGACGAGACAGCAGATATATACTACTAAAACAGAAGTCTCGGAAAAACCCAGCTGCTGAAATAAATATTGTGGGATAAACTACGGCCTCGGGCAAAGAGAACTGGAAACTTAGGTACACAACAAATACTAGGAGGGTAGTTGCCTATCTATGATGGTAGGAATGTTATCAACTTACACCTCAGCATAGTTGGCAAGTTGAGGCGGTAGCAGTGATAAGGTTACCAACTTAGACATAAGCATAGTTGCTAACCTGAGGTGGTAGGACTATTCCATATTAGCAGAGTAACGTTAGATGGTAGCAATGTTACCAACTTACACCCCAGTATAGTTGGCAACCTGGGGTGGTATCAATGTTACAACTTACACTTTACAGTTGCCAACTTAAGATGGTAGCAATTTACCAACTTACACTGTAACATAGTCGATTAATGAGGTGGTAACAATGACACATCTCAGCAAAGTAACCTTAGGTAGTAGCAATTTTACCAACTTACATTTCAGCATACTTATCAAGCTAAGATGGAAGTAATGTTACCAACTTACACCTCAGCATAGCTGCCAACGGGGATGGTATCCAATGTTACCAGCATATATTTTTTAGTATAGTTGCCAACCTAAAATAACCTAGGATATCAAGAAGGCCTAGGGAAAAAATTACAATAATTACATTTTACAAGAGGAGGAATCGATTGAACTGAACTAAGTGTCAAGGAAAAATCAAGCTACAAAGCTGCTTGGAGGTCATCCATCCCAAGAAACCAGCCTTGGGACGCCAGCAGAGGAAACAAGAATTGACGTGATTTTATCTATAAGTTTGATGTCTGCTAAGTAGACAATTATGTTTACTGACGTGGAATTATTGTTTAGTATGGAGGTCTTTGGAGATATGGTTTTGGCTCTGGTATAGAGGGAGCAAGAGCTGACCTAGTCTTATTTCTCAAATGCCTGAAAATGAGTTAACCTAAATATTTGTACACGTTCAATACTTCAATCTTCTCGAAATCGAGGGAAGTCGGCTTAAAAAAGGGGCGAATAGTAAGGGACTTAATGGTCAAACTTGCCTGTCTTACTAAAGAACTCGGAGAATCCTTCCCTTTACTTCTGACTCTGTTGGATCAAAAATAGAAGAAAAACTTACTTTGCCAGTTAATTCCACAATAGATTTTTTTAGGTCGGAGAGGAAGAAAGGGAGATTAAAGTGACCACTTGCTAAGTTGATGTGAAATTTTCATAGATGATAAATTATGAAGCTTAGAATAGATCTTGGTTGAGATGAAAAAGTAAATGCCACGAGCGGAATTTGAACCCACGACCTTCGGCTCGATACGGCGGTGCTCTAACCACTTGAGCTATCGTGACTTCGATCCACTCGGACGCCAACTCCCTGGAAAAATAGCAAAAAGAGGGAAAATTCGAAAGGTTGTTGGTTGAGATGAAGAGATGGTATGCGAGGGGATCAAAGTCACGATAGCTCAAGTGGTTAGAGCAGCGCCGTATCGAGCCGAAGGTCGTGGGTTTGAATCCCGCTCGTGTCACTAACTTTTTCATCTCAACCAAGACCTTACATAAAAAGAATAATTAATTGAAATAAGTAATTTGGTCAATTAGACTACTAAACATAAATGGCTTAACATAGAGCTCAACCAAAGTACAATAGCTTCAGATTACAGAATGATTTTCCCTCTACTTTTCTGTTGATTTAATCTAGTCCATTCGGTTTGCCCCGGTTTTTGACGTTCGCCCCGTTCCCACGGATCGGACGGCGTGTGGTCCATTCCGAATGGTGATATTAGGGAAATGAGAAAAGCGTAGGGGGCCTCGAATCATTACAACGGCGAAACCCTGCAAATTCCAATTTTTTTAAAAGGTCGAAAGGAAACAAAAGAAATAAAATACCAACGAGGGGGTAAAAATCGAATTGCAACTTCTAACATTCCTTACCGTCCAACCTGCCCATTGGGTTACCCCGTTCGAAAACAGATTTCTACGGATCGAGTCATGACATCACAAACAGGGGCGGTGGATGAATTGATGACGATAAAAGCTCAAGTTGAAAAGGAATTACAAAAAAATGTTGCTGGACCTTTCGATTCGGCAGGTTTTAATAAATTTATTATACTAAATAGGCTTGCCAAAGGCTATTTTGCTGACAGAATATCTACCTTGAAAATGAACACGATGCTTGTATCGCGTGCTGCTCAAAAGCAGAGGGCCTAGGATGTCAAAGTATATGCTTTTGCGGACGACCTTCTTTTTGTCATCTCTGGAGGATGAATTAAATCGAAAAGGAAATTGAGCGCATGTATTTAATTGAAAAATGGTCGAGATAAAAATAGAATTGAATTTAATCCTGACAAATCAGCTATTCTTCAAGCCAGCAGGATGAGGGAGAGAAAATCGAACTGTCCTTAGTCAGATGTTTTGCTTTATCTGTTGCCAAAAGGACTGTCAACAAATAACGACTCGTCTGAGAGGTTAAACCAGCGAGAACATGCGAACCAGGACGATCGGCTATTATCAAACCGCACTATTTATAGTTAATTATTCTTTTTATGCAAGGTCTTGGTTGAAATGAAAAAGCAAGTGTCACGAGGGGGATTCGAACCCACGACCTTCGGCGATCGAAGTCACGATAGCTCAAGTGGTTAGAGCAGCGGCGTATTAAGGTCGTGGGTTCGAATCCCGCTCGTGACACTTGATTTTTCATTTCAACCAAGACCTTATATAAAAAGATTTTACTGAATCTAGAAAACACCACTCACTGGGAACAAGAGGTTCAGATCGAATTACATGTACAGAATGAATACATCTGGCTAAGACCACAGTCCAGTATTAGGTAAAAGTAATGGTACTGAGGATACTAGGAAGCGGGGTTTGTGCTCCCCCGGCTCTGCAGCCTTCTGGCCTTCCTTCCTAGTTCCTTAGTTCAGTGCAATTCTTCTTAGAAGCATCATCATCTCTAGCTACTACAATTTCATTCCCTAGACTTTTTGTATGTTAGGTTGAACCTCTATTGAGCCGTTGCTTCTCATTCGAAGATGATATGGGTAGTCCCTCCTACTCATTACATAATCTGCAGGTGGGATTATAGTTGTATATGCTGTTCAGATGTTTTCTCAGACGCCAGTGACTGGTTAGTAATCCTATCACTCCTCTGAGTTTAGCCCTCTCCAATTGCTGCAGTTAATATGCCAGTCTTGGTAAGGGTTGTTTGATCGTAAGTTCACTGTGTCTAGCGCCGCTAGAGTTTATCCACTTCTCCTTTGTTTTATTTGGATCCATTCTGTGATGGAGGATTCTACATTTGTTTTTGTTACCCCGAGAATAGGTTCGGGGCCTATGTATGGTCTTGCAGATCCTCCTCTGGCCAGTGCGTCTGCTTTCTCATTACCCAAAATTCCTCTGTGCCCTGGTACCCAAAATATCATGAGGTTGTTGTGTTCCCCAGGTTTTGGAGATTTTGGATGCATTCGCTGACTAATTTTGATGTGATTTTTTTACATGCTAATGCTTTAATGGCTGCTTGGCTATCAAATCTTATGAGGGTTTTTTGCCATTGTAACCTCTTTTAAGATTTTCTAAGGCAGAAGCGTTGATGGCATGTATTTCTGCTTGAAAGACCGAAGTGTCTTTCCCCCCTAAAGTTTGATTGCTAACCCTAATACGTTTGATTGCTCCTGTTTTGTGCAGAAAATGCCCGATCCGGTTCCTTCGTTTGTTTTGGAGCCATCTGTATATCATATCATTGTATCTGATGCTCTCCTGTGTTCTTCTTCTCCTTTATAGTCCGTTGAGACTTTATACGATGTTGTAAAGAATGTTGCCGAGATCATATAGTCAGTGCCCATTTATAAGAATGGGTGTATGATTCTGTTAATTATGGTTGTGTGCCTGAATTGTTTAGTTCCTGTCCAATTTGATTGTTTTTGTAGCCTAAATGAGCTTTTCCTAGCCTCTCCTTGCATAAATATTCCCAGAAGAGGTAGGTTTAGCAGAGTTTCTGGATAAAAGCAAAATAAGAGCTATCTCCCTCTCTTTTTTTGTGGATAAAAGGTTAAAAGGCTTAAATTAAATTTCAATTACATTAAGTTTAAAAAACAGTATATGAATATCAATAAAATCAGTTCATATTGAACGCTCGTACATGAATAAAAATATGACAATATTGATTAGTGTGTTATTTATTGATGGTCGAGGCGTCGAGCGTATATCATATTTTCACAATGGGATTTTCTTCAAATAATTGTATTTGTACACTGCCCCGGGGGTGAAAGGGGGCGGCTTTTCCGAGAAGTGGCGCCCGGCTCGAGTGGACCCCCATATTTTAAAGGGTCGTTCGGTGGCGCATCCCTTCGCACCTAGGTGACAAAGCCCTCACCTCGGCCAATTAGCCCAGGTAAGCCTGTGAATGAAAACGGAATGTGTCCTTTCACAGGGCGATCGCCCATTCAGTTTTGTGGCCTTTTTCCTGTCCCCCGGGCCGGCTGGACGGGCCGCATTCCGATCTCTTTTTAACAAACCCGCAAACGCGTTTTACCTGAGGGGTCCCGGGGCCACAGGGGGCGATTTCTGATTCCTTTCAAATGGAGGTAATACAAACAAACTCGGTTGAATGGCAGGAATGTCGTCCCCTTCCTTTCAGAGAGAACAGTCTATTCTTTCCGACCGAGATATGTTGGGACGTTCATCTGCAGAGCGATCATCCCTGATCCTACCAAATTGCTTTTACAAAAATAAGCTATGAAATACACAGTGAGATTTCTTCATAGAGTTTGAGAGGTGAAGAACTTGTATTTGGTCGTTTCCGATCTATTAAGTCCGCCTATTTATTT